ATTCACAATCGCCATATACAAAAAGTTGTAAACTAGCCATTTCCAAATGAAGGTTGCGAATTTTTCCGACAGAGTTCTCTCAGTGTATCAATAGGTTTCTATTCTAAAGATTATTATTTAAAAACACTAAGTTTGCGTTTATGAATTATTTTATTTTTACCAGTTTGAAATTAACATTCGGAACAAATTCTGTCTGTTACACATGCTAGGAAGTGGAATGCCAAAGTATCCAAATGATTTAATAGCCGAAAATCGATGCTCTGTATTGCCAGTAGAGAGTACGTTTTGCTTCAATAACGACGGAGATTCGTCTTTGTCCAATGCCTCCGGAGACGACATAAGCGTTGCCCAAATTCGTACTCTGAAAATAATTTTAAAAAATTCATTGTAAAATTGATATTCTATCAATTTTTTTCATTGTGAAAAATATAAAAGGAACACTCTATCTATAAATCTCCATGAGAGCTCATTTCAAAACCAAAGTGTACTATTATATTGTTATCAAACAAATCGATTGATGACATTAGACATGTGTTTTATGATAATGGACGTTGATTAGATTCGGATCAGCTCGAAAGCGGTTTCAAAATAAAAGTGACGTCAATATCAATATTTTACCTGTTCAGTGATGACTTCAAGGTATGTGATGATCTCAGCATATCCAGACTTTGGGTAGTTTAAATTTAGTCGAACGTCTTGTGGTTGAGCCCATTGCTGGCTGGCTGAGTCGGTTGCCAAGAGGCGGTCGCCTGAAAAGTTGGTTTAAATAATAGTTACTTGTTTCTTCAACAGGCAGACAGCCCAACTTAATTCACTGAGAATTTGAAAACAGCTACTCACCATTAATACGATTTCCCAACCGGTGTGTAAGTTGAATTCTTGATGATGGACCGTCATAGCTCACTTCTTTATCTAATTGTTCCAACTGAATGCCTGGGTTGGCGGCCAAGAAATCGGTCAAATTTTGCACGAAATTGAATTCGATTTTCGATTCCAAAGCCTTGTCCGAACACTCAACACAGTTTAAAGCAAGAGCCGAAACCAAACAAATGGCAAAAACGCTTAAACGAAACATTTTGAGAGTTTAACTGAGCACTTTCGAAGTAGAATGTTCACTAGAAGATTTGAACTAATTTTTGTTCGAATAATCATCGACTTTTATACTTGAAATTGGGCTGTTATCATAGCGCTATCGATGAAATTTCAAAAACTAGTAACTTATAATGAAGAAGTACCATTGAAAAATGATTATTTTGTAGATAAAAATGCCGACAAGTTGAAGTGGAGAAGTTTCGCATACAATAGTGGCGGTCAAGCTTTTTATTTATGATGACATGAAAATGACGCTTTTCTTCCAGGAACTCTATTGTATTGAATTGTGAACAATCGATTTTGGGCATCTTACCTAACAGTCGTGATCACACCGTCCTCCAATAATCACTACAAAACACTTGTCTTCATAGGGGTATTGCAACGACCATAAAATATATGAACGCGTGAGAATAAAAGAATGACGCTAGCAGGTTATTCGCAAAAGCGGGATAACAATCAGTTGCACGCAAAAAAGACATTTCAAAAGGTTACACGCAAACGGAACATTTTATTTTGTCGCATTTTGAATTTTAAAGCCGTGATTACAACAACAATATACTTCTCCCTTGCGTGCAACCTTTTGAAATGTCTCTTTTGCGTGCAACTGATTTTTATCCCGCTTTTGCGAAAAACCTGGTAGCGTCAGTCTTTTATTCTCACGCGTTCATATGTATTTCATTAAGTTTATCAAGCTCTTTCCAAGTATATGCATAGTGTCGAACTTTTGTTCAAGCTCTACCATCTAAATGTACAGCAAAATAATTTACGGGCACGACGTAAGATGGCGTTTTTTCTGGTCAAAAAAGTTGCAATATCCCTTTGCTTGTCTTACGAAATTCAAAGCGAAAACAATGTGTCATGTGCCTGATTCATTGATATTTTAGTCATTCAACAAATTCAATCTAAATATTCATTGCTTTTTACTACTTCAAATATGATCACTTTGAAAGGAGAAGAATCACATTAGATAGTCGGGAAAATCGGAAAATGTGGCTTTTCCATGAACTCATAATTTCCAAACGTCTGGAAATTTTGGAAAAGTGTCTTTGAAAAAGTTGTAGATCTTATCAAATAAAACAATATTTCCGAACACTTTATCCCCAGAAAACCACCCCCTTAGGCTGTAGGGCGGCTCAAAAAACTCGAATTGTCGGGGTGACTTTTTGACCTGAAGGGGTGGTTTTTTGGGGATGATTTGTTCGTCAAAGTTTTTAATTTCGACTAGATCTACAACATTGCCGAAGACACTTTTTACAAATTCCCATCCGCTTAAAAGCTATGGCGTCCAGAAAATTGGGGGTTCCAAACTATGGACCCCCCTAAAACTACCCCCAAACAATTTCGTGAATAAATAATTGGTGTCGTTCGTCATCATTTGACCCCAACTAACTAACCCAATCGGAATTTCGAAAAAAAAGAGTGAAAACGAGGGACCTTTACTGGTTAGTACATTTTTGTTTAAAGTTTTTATCTAAAGTTTTTCCCGAAAATCCATTTTCTTTGTACACATCTTGGTCTGTAACTTTTTTCGTAGACAAGCTAGCACCGAAAATAAAATGGTTCTGAATTGTGGAAGGAAGTACCTTTCAAACGCATTAAAGATTATTAGAATCGGTGCAGTGGTTAGAACTTTATAAACCATAAATTTGAAGTGTGAGCATTGAAACTAGTCGACTTCACCAACTACCGATTGAAATATACACCAAATTGGGAATGATTTTTGCCAGTTTCAAATTTTTATCGTAGAGAGCATTGAATTTAGATAAATTTAGCCATAGTCAGATCTATCGTATGACCATAAATAAATAATAAGTAACAGCTGTACATAAGCACTGGCGAACGTGAAAAATTAATTAAAATCAAAATTAAATACAAGCCACTAATCATATTCCGAATATCCAGTGGTCATGAAACTTTGTGAATCTTATTTCTTCATCAAATTTCGATACCAAGCTAAATTTGAAGCCAATCTGATGAGAAATCGGGGTACCTCATATACAAAATTTTCAAATTTTATCTCTAAAATAGCAAAATTTGTATGGAAAGTACCTTTATTTCTTGACCTAGTGGGAATTTCAATCGGAAGAAGCGATCCGTTTACAAGTGTGTACTACCCTGAACAAGGAAGGCAAACTTTGCCGATGTCATACATAGCAAAAGGTGGAGTAGAAGAAAAACATATCCACGTCAGGAAAATCTCGATTTTCCAAGTTCACATTGGAAAAATATGGACAGTAGAAATATTTCAGTTAGTTTATACACTGAGAAAAAACATTCTGAACAAATGACAGATGACGTTTGGAAATGGCTAGTTTACAACTTTTT